GAGCTGTTGCTGGCCCCGGGCCGGCTGCCTCCCCGAGCCTGTCGCGGGTCACGCTGAGGCAGAGGCCTCCTAGAGCGACTCCTAATTTAAGCGTCAGCCTTTGGGAGCTTCGTTGCCCCTCTGGCTGGCCACGTAAGTGGGATGAGCGGACCGTGCTCCCTGGATCGCTCCTTAGAGGCCCCGTGCTAGCGTAAAAGGTGTCCCAACTCAGTCTTTCCTCCCTCTGGCAGGCTTCAAAGATAAGTGGCCTGAGGGGGAAGGAAGATGAAAGTGAGCCCATGTAGACGGATCTCCCTTTTCCACCCCTAGTGCCCCTCACTCCAGGCCCTCCTGCCCAGTATAGCCCCCCCTTGGGGCTGGCTCTAGGTGGGGACACGTAGAGTTCATGCACAGACAAAACGAAGCACAGGCAAGAGGTTTCTCTCAGTGCCGTGGTAGCCTGGCCTGAAGGTTCACCAGGTGGTTAACGTTCGATGCACAGTCATACTTTATCCATACTTTACAAAAAGGTTACCCACTTGTAATGGCAGGAAGTTTTTCTTATGATTAGAATTCTTTTCCCATTTTTCAGCCATGATTCACTACTGGGACAGGACTAAAGACTGCAGCTGTGCCTTAAGGGAGTAGAGACTGTGTAAAAGGATCCTATGGCAGAGCTTTGAGATGGACCCCTTTCTGCAGTGAGGTAAGACTATCAGAAGGTCCCCACGTTTCACCAGAACATAACACTATTAACTAGAATCAGTTAACTCTAAGGAGGGAAGGTTCCAGTCTATAGGGTGAGAGGAATCAGTAAGAGACTGGAAAATAAAATCCTGCTGTTACATTGTAGAGGGAATACTTTCCTCCAAACTGTGGGTTTCCAGAGGCTCCTGAACAAAACAGATTTTGCATCTCTGCATCCCTAGGAAAATGCTGCTCTTAATGCCTTTCAGGCTTGGTCCTGGATTTGTTCCACCCAGGAGCCTCCCATTCAGCACTCTGGCTTCAGGTTTGTCTGCTCCACCTGCACTCCATGGCTGCCAGGTATGGCACAGTCTCCCCTGCCTCCAAAGGTCTTCCCTTGGCCAGGGAAAGGCAGCAGCCAAGATGAGATGAACAGGCTCTTCTGGCCTTGTTTAAACAGATACACATTTCTAAGCCTGTCCCCACAAGCTGTCAAGCTTTGCCATGGTCTGGGGCTAATGATTACAAGCGAGAGTTCAAGGAGGAATAGAGGTTACTCCTATACAGGGGACAAAGGGTTTATTATAACCTACTCAGGGGCAACGCAACCAATATATAGTGAAGAGGAATGATGGGAACATGGGTCCCCATGGGTTCCTCAGGTATAGGCAGTGGGGGGTCAAGCTGTCCCTTAGCATCCACCATCCCCCTTCTTTGCCTCTTTGTTCCGCAATGAGGGCATTTCCTCACCCCCCAGAGGTCACAAGGTAGCAAAAGGGAAGCCAGTAACAAGAGCACGTGTGGCACCATAGCAGGCATGCAAGAGACAGAGCCTAGGCAGCTGCCTTTGGTCTCACAGTAAATTCATATCTGTCTCAGAGCCATACAGATACCTGCTCTCTGCACTGCTGTACTCTGGCTGCGAGAGGCTCTTCGGGCTTGCAGATTAATCAAAACAGGCTGATCCCAGCTTATTTCTTGTTCTGTCTATGCAACTTCATTCCACTTGTGTCCAAGAGCACCTCATGCTCCCGGCCCCACTCTGTGCTCCCATCCTGCCAGCAAGCACAGCTGTGGCTTGGCTGCCTAGAACTCAGTTATTCCCTGCAGCCTGCAAGGAGCCTGCCTGCCTGATGCGGATGTGCCTCCCAGCAGCACCAGCTATTAGCACATGTAGTGGAGGACTCAGGCAGGCAGACTGCACCCCTCCTATTTGACTGAAGGAAAAGGAACGCTTGAACTTGCTCCAAAAGGAAGCACAGATCCAGCTTCCCCACATTCATTTACTTGCAGAGCTTGCCTAAACCTGCATGTAGGCTTCATCTCGCAGACAAGCAGTTTAGAGGCAGGCAGTTAGGCCAGCACAAGTCAGCTGGAGGTATTGACCCTTCCAGCAGTTCCCGCTGGCAGTTTAGAGACAGACTTTGAGCTCAGCTTAGACATCTCTTCTCCACTATCTAGAGAAACTAGCCCTTCACTTCTCCTTCCCAGGCATTATTTTTTTCAGTATGACTTATACCAGCTACAAGTCCACCGTGTCCTTCAATACTGTCTATCCAGGCCCTGCAAACCACACAGGGAGAACCCTAGGAAAAACAAGCCAGATTGGAAGGGGTGTTAGGTAAACAGGCAACTCCTGAGGAGAAACACACTATGAAATATTTCATTTCTGGTTTTAACCACACAAAGATTTTACCAAAATGCTCTTTATTTTCCATTACATCACACATTTTCTAATAGTCTAATTTACCCTTGTGCAAAGCTTAAGGCCAGAACAAAACAAGAATTATCTAGAGAACCACCATCCCCTCAGGTGATGATGGGGTTGAGATACAAGCTACTTAACTGAAGTGGAGAGCTCTGCTGGCAAAGCATAGGTAGCACACACACAAAATCAGAGTTAGCTTCCTAAGCAGACTGTCTTGACAGCCATCACTACAATTTTACACCCATCATACCAGTGAGTTCAAGTGACTTTTAGTGAGTTATCAGGGAGGAAGTGCTTGCAGGAATG